GTTGGATTCGTATCGCTATATATATATTCGCATTAGCTATACCAAAGGCATCATTAAAGAAAACATTTTACTAACATAGTTAGCACAAAAGTTGTTTTTATTGCATTATTTGACTATGAAAGCGAGGAAACGTAAGACTGTGCCCCCAGACAACGAAACAGATTTATTTTGTTTCAACTGAAGGTATCTTGTATTGAATTGCAGAGGCAACCGAAAAAAAAAAAACCAAGTACTTTCATGTCAGATTTGTGGGTATTTTAAGGATTCTCAAAATCCGTCATTGTAAAAAAATTCTGTACTTTACAGCTAGAAATAAAGTTTTGACGCGTCAGATTGGCTTTACAGAAGAGAGTTTTTTTTTTTTTTGACATATGAAACAAGTTACGGAGGAGGGTGCTATATCTAAACTTAGTCTGACTTCTAATATGATACTTATGTAAGTTTGTGTACTAAATTAGGATAATTATTTGTTAAAATGAATATTCAGAGTTACTCGACTAGCGATCTACGTATTCGATGTTCACCAGATTTTGCTGTCATTTAGCAAGTGTTGCAAGCCACTCTGTAAGGGTTCTACACAATGTGTTCCCCTGCTCCTGCCTGGCTATTTGTCTAATACATTATTTATAACAGAGTACATATTTATAGCTTAGAGACGGTAAGTAGTCAACGGGGGCCCTTCGAATCTCCTTAATAGCGAACAACAGATACGCTGATGCTATATATGATTTGTTCTTGATTACATCTCAGAGTGAAGCGATGAGCTTGACGATTTAGATTATACAAAAACTCCCATGCGTTCTAATATAGAACGAACCGCAAAACGATTTTGGTAAAAATTCGTATTGTCTGCAGAACAGAATTCTTATAACTATTGCTACCAACAGAGATCGTCAACCACTCAAGGGACTATGCAGCTAACGTCTTACGACAGTGTCCTGTTTGGGACATACGTATGTACATTTTCGCCAACCAGAAAAGATTCTAGTAAGCATTAAAATATGCTGCACTGTACAAAATCGTGTAGAAAAAAAGCACCCGCTGACGTCTCCACGAGCGTAGGAACATATGCGAACACAATCAGCCAATAGAGAAGCGGGTACAGGACGTTTATTTCCACCCTAAACTGACCGCTTTTTATTGCATCTATACTTGCCTATTCAGGCGAGACCAGCAGGGGCAAAAGAATAAGTGATAAAGAGGTGAAAATTGCTGTGCCACAAAAGTGGAACTTGTTGTGCTTCACGACCGAATCGTCGCATTGAGCTAAGGTCGACAATGAACTTCCGATACGTTTAATGCAAAATAATAAAGACATTGTGACGTTGCTCGTATATATATATATATATATATATATATATATATATATATATATATATATATATATGGCTTGTAGAGTGACACGTCTAGCTTTGACGGTTATGGTGCCTTCCGTATACTCTGATTCTACGTGTTGGAGCTTCGATTTTACAAAAGAAACATTGAACGGAGCGACCACTTGCATTGAATCTATTATTTAATTCCCCCATTATTTTTTTTATCTCTTTTTTCTGCTCTGAAGAAATGATAAAATGCATCTTATATCGAAAATCGTTACTCGTGTCGTACGCTGGCTAGCGACTAAACTGGAGATATATATCTCCAGTTTTATTGTATATAAATGTATTAGCTTATTATTGTATATAAAAGTATTAGCTCCAGCTTATAAGTTAGCTGTTATAAGCGGATCTGGCAGATTTTAAAATTAAAGAACTTTTAAACTACTACTACTACTGAACTAGCGTTCTGGCAGCTTTTAGGCCGTCTACCACTCGTGTTTTCCTATATAGATTCTTCATCTACGAGCTCTCAAAGTAAATCGAACATGAAATATGTTAGCCCATTAGTTTCTTTTTTTGGGGCACAGAAAACCCCGTAATCACACAGACTAGGAGGGGAAGAATAAGCGGATTGAGACCAACATTGGATATTCCTTTGCTCAACGCAGGAAATGATCGAAGCATGACGATGAGGCCTGACGTTGTCGTTAAGTAGTCCGACTGTGTGCTTTCGATTACCATGCCCACGGACCATAAGTAGCTTGAGGAACTCGAAATAGCCGGCTGCGTTCATTGTTTCCTTTTCGGCAAATATAACAGCGGATGCCCCTGATATCCGTTGAAAGTACTACCATCCAGTTACGTGTGAATCTATCTGCCACCGCCACCGAACTCAAAGCGACGCCATTCTTTCCCCTGATCCTTTTACAGATGATGGTAGAGGCTGACCCTCATCTCATCTCATCTATAGCAACCGCTGCTCCAGGCGGCTTTTTTTTATTATTAAAGTTCCGCAAATTGCACACGGAATACACCACGTACATTTTCAATTTGGCCTGGAGTGAATTCACAGAGGACCGTTTTCTACTCAGTTTCAGTATTTAGGTTATAACACGTTACATGTCAAATGCCATTTTTAGCCAGTAAGACTACAAGCTCTGCCTTCTAAAAAGCCTTCTAGACTGCGGCAATCCGTTGCCATCAGATTGCTTTCTTGTTAACTTCCAAGACATTAATCTCCGTTCATGAGACGTCTGCACCATTCACGTACTGGGCTTTCGCTTGAAGTCTCCTTGCCTAATGCTTTCATTAATCGTGGATGAATTTGCGCACTACTGTGGAAGACAACAATTCGATTAGTAAGCGTTGATATTTACGAATAAAAAATGTGTTTCCTTTCGAATTTGTTCTTCTTGAGGTGAGCGCGACCGGTTTTCAGTCGTAAGTTTTTAGAGGACAGGAGTTTACCATCGAAATTTTAGTGGGTATATCAAGGGCTATTCAATTTGAAAGTCCATCGGACATGCTTGAGTCAGCTTTATATATATGATCACGCTTGCAGCCCTGCTATCGACTACATAACATTTTTATTGAGTATTTCCTTTTACCTGAAGTCGGTGTCTACGTTTTTTGGTTTTCTTTTCAAATATTAAAGTTCCTCATGGCTTAACTGATGTATAACTACTCCATATTTAAGATATATTATAAATAAATAATAGGTATCACAGTCAAAAAACCACTGCATATCGATAAAATAAGCCGTTCCTTTGAAAAATTCTGTGAGCGTATCAACAACTACGAATCAAAAGATGCTGTATAAGGGAAAATCCGTACGTTGATTTAAAAAATCTTCGCCTTTCCTTGAATAGAATCGCTTACTGCCATTATCACTCCAAGTGTATAATCTTGCATTCACACAACCTAGCTGAAGGGCTTCGCTCGAGTAAGCAAAGAATCGAACCATTTGTCTTCTTAGCAGAGGTATGGGTGCAACGGAGAAAATTACCCAACATTGTTCTCCCACCTCCTAGCTCAATGCGTAGTCTTCAGGGCACCGTCCCACAGGCATAGACCCCGTTCCCAGTTGCAAGCAGCAACTTGTAGGCAGCAACAACAAGATCAACTTGGTGCGCACACGTTATCCGCAACCTTCTTAGAGCACATACACACAACCATTGGCAAACTCTTCCCCGCGAAATCTCTCAACATCGACGCGCTCCGGTCAAATTGAGCTCAGCACCACCGATTCCTTTCCTCTGTAGCTCATAGCATACATCCACGAATAGTAGTTGGACGAGCTCACAATCTTGTAGACGGGAACGCTGTGCTGCTCTTCCCCTATTGAAGACTCCAATTTCCAACCCTCAACCCCATAGAGTATCATCACAGTGATATTATTCGTGAATCAGCAATAGCAGCACAGGCATCTCATCACCACCCCACCTACATACGAAATGAACGACATTACCAATATAGCTTTAGCTATCCGGCGGATCCAATCGGAGAGCATAGACACAAATGGACGAGATCAGCGCCCGTTTGTCCGTGCCTGTGTTGCTTGGCTTCGATTCTGTGTCCTCTTCGGCCGCCAGTGTTATTTCTGCCCCGCTACGTATACATGCCCTTCAGTGTTTCCATGCGGTTATCACCGCTGCTAGTACGACCGTCGCTGCTACCGCCGCCTCGATGTATTTACGATCGACAATGCTGTTCGCTCTGGTACCACAACCTCCGATATTCTGAAAGTAAAGCAGGTTGCTAGGTTTATTCGCATTCTCATTGCTTAGACAGACCGGTACACGCCAGTGCTCGTCGAGTCACCTGAAAATCAGGTCGGCATTAGTGGAGCCGTCGATGTGCCAGTCGCTGGGGTCTCATAAAACGCTGTAATGGAGCTTGATGATCGTGCTTTAGAAGCAACGCCACAAGAGAAAAGTCAGTCAGGTTAGAACAGGGTGTTTGCCGGGTTTCTGCCTCTGGGTCGAATTGTATTCAAGAGAATGGCATATTTATATATAAATGCCTCTAGCATGTAAAGACTAAAGTTTAGACAAGCAATGCCCACTTCACGTAGGAGACATTGAAAAAAAAACAAAAAAAAAAACACAAAAGAATCGTTATTCTTCTGCGCACAACTATTAGTTGTAGATGCAGTTAAAATAAACGATTCTTATGGGGAATTGCTCTTCTGAATTGCGTCCCTCCCAGTCTCAAGTTAACTTCGACAGCTACGGCGATTTCACTGCTAACGCTACAACTCGTTCGGTAGCGAACTTAATTTCATCCCAAAGCTTGTAGTTGTGACCACATAGACACCTCAGTTCGCCTCTGTTGCATGTCGATGCCGCAGCCTCTATTATATATAGATTTTTGTAATTGATCTTATTCAAGTTCCGCATGAGTAGGTGTACAAAATCTGGATCTTTTGCCGTTACAACCTATCGCGTGTAATGAAGGCAGGGGGTCACTCAACCGCATTGTTGCTACAAGGACGACTATAGTTACTCAATTTCCAAGGCGGAAAATTCTGTGCGAAGTTAATAGTTGACAATAGACAAAGTGCAATTATTCGAGAAAATTCCAGCATGCTTAAAAGTGCAAAAATGTATGGTTATAAAATGAAGATCATTATGGATTTTCGTCGAGATAAAATGTTCTTCTAACGAAAATAATTTATTCATATTAATTATATATCAGTATGTCCATTGCAAACATGTTTTTTTTTTGTACATTCCTCATATATTGTACAGATCTGTTCGTCATTTCTCAGTCAGTCTTGTCATCATCCTCATCACAGGTGGGTTTACGCACGACGTAGTGAGCGAAACGTACTCCTACCGTGTGTCAGTCTCTTTCAATGAACGAATAAAAAAAATTTTATACTGGTTATCATAATAAGGTTTTATGAGTTTCTCATTCGACCTCGATAGCGTCTGGCCAGAGTCAAACGAGCATGTTCAAATGTAAAATGTTTATACGATTATCCATTGAGTGCTTTAAATACTGCCGCTGTTCTAAATTTCCTGGGTCGGTTATATCTTTTAGTTAGTAGTTAGGTTGCATGCCAAGTGTCGATAGTCTGAGGTCGATCCTCGTGAATGGAAGTGGGTCACATATTTCCATATACAGATCGTAGACGGTATGACCTAGTAAAGTAGCACGCTGTCCTGGGTAGCGCGTGGAGATCACCTTTAGGTTGCGGGCCCGGACGAGACGGTGGTTAAATTAAATCACGTTACACTTAGTCAATGAACGTAACCAATGTTGATCAATCACTAACCGCTGAGATCACATCTACCAGTTGACATATTGTGTATTTTACTTTAACGTGACAAATTTATTCCGCCACTATAATCAATATCTAAACAACTATTGGCGGGGAAACACAAGGCGCGTCGATGAATGGGACGTACCCAAAGACTACGAACCTTCATCCGCTATGTGATAGCGTTCAGCTCACGCTACAGACGCGCGTGCTAATCATCTTGTATGACCAGCTTCAATGCTCAAACAATATAGTTTACCAAAGTTTTCTCTGCATAGTCATATCACGCTTGCTTCAAAATCGAGTACTAGTAGAATTCAGGAATAATGAGCAAACTTTTATAAATCTAAATCTCGTAGCCTAAGTCCGTGATCGGTAATTGTTTGTATTAGGCAAATCCAGCGGATCGGATGTTACTATGGTTCCCAGATGTTGAACAAGGTGGATTCGCGTACTGAAAAAGGGGTTCGTTGTAAAAAACTGCTTGGAAAAATTTGGCAACGATTCACAGCTGCCAACACTTCACATGAATCGTTTAAAGTAATGAACTAAAAACGAGCACAGCTGCTCTAGATAAATTCTATGTAATGATGATAAAACTGTACAGTGTATAAATAAAATGTTATTTACACATTATTTTCTACATGTCTGGATTTTTACCTAAACGTCGTTGTGCCATTGTGCTAGAAAAATACGTTATTTCGTTCAAAGCATTCATTGGTTCTGTACGCAGTCCAATAGATCACTCCGCCTACGCGTGGGGGGATTTAGGCTAGGGTTTCGGGCAAGAGATATTGGCGTCACTATGTCGGCCGAATTTGCTTTCATTAAGGACAAAAGGGACCCATTATCCGAACTGATGAGAGGTCCTATTTGCTGAGGCTAACACTGATCGCCATTTGCTATATGTGTTAAAGTAGGAATGCATAAGAACAAAGATCCCAGTTTCGGTCGGTCAGTCTTAAAAAAACTCAAAAGAATTTTACAGGTATGTCTTTTGGCATTTACCGATTCAATATATATTAAATATGATAAAAAAAATTCTCCACTTATTGAAAGAGCTGTTGCTGCATGCCGATCAATGTAGGGGAGATGTCTTAGAATTGGCGATTTAATTCGACGGCTCGATTTATCGAGGTCTCGGTTGTGACACTGTCTTTTGATTGCTAATGGCAGGCAAATCGAGCGAAGACAAGGGCTGACTTCAAGAATTGTCTAGTCGAGTTTGGTATATTGGTACATCATGCTGCTTAGGTTGTCCGCTGCGTCATATGTGCACCGCCACCGAATTGAGGTCGGAACGTATGATCTTACGATTTCGTGCGCCAGGCAGCGAATGGCGTAGTTTGTCCCAAAAGCTTTTTTCGCCCCAATGCAAAAAGGTGCTATGCCTAAGCCACGTCCGAATATCAGGATCGAGATCACTGTACGACACTCGACCCAGGAAGATGACGACGAGCTTGTAGTTGCTGTTGTTTAGAACCTCGTGGTGGGCGGATTTGAACTCATAGCGGCACCATTCACTTTCTAGAAAGTGCTCGGACAAGATGACGATTGTTGTTCTTGAACTCTCGACAGCCTCTTCGATAGCTTCACTTAGGTAGCCCATAACCATGGGCAAATCGCGGTAATGTAAGCAGAGCCGGTAAGGCGGATTACCATATTCCAGTTCTGGAGCAAGAATTTGTATTACGAAAGTCTCGTCCTTTTTACTGTATGACACAAACGCATCAAACAGCTTCTCTTCTTCGATGGTCGTACGATGAAACATGCCCATCCCGTAACGGCCGAATAACCAGAGGCTCTTTTGGCGTAGATAGAAAATTACCGTTACCGTTACGCTTACCAGGAGTAGGACGAGTGAACCAACGACGAGGGGCATCGGTACGGAATCACCAATGCGCTGGAACCGATACCGTTGAATAGAGAAGACATTGTTTGACGAGTGGTGACATTGGGTCACGTTTACTTCCCACAATGGTAAGGTTGTCGTCGAGTTATAGACGCACGAGAGCTGCAAAATATCACCAACTGCACTTCCGTGCTTTTGTAGAAACTCTCCTAGCTGATCTGTAAAGTGACAATCACATGTCCATGGGTTACTGCTCATATGAATCTCCGTTAGGCGCATATTACGCTGGAAGCTCCAAGCGGCAATTTCTCTTAACCGATTCCTACTGAGATGAAGAACCCCGAGATTTTTTAGATTTGCAAAAGTCATATTGTTTATATAGCTGATTTGATTATCAGTTAAGTACAGCTCTTGGAGCTTGAACAGTCCGTCAAACTCGTGGCCGTGAAGTCTAGTGATCTTGTTATATTCAAGGTGTAGTTTCCTGAGCTCTTGTAAGCCCAAAAAGGTTCCATTCTTAATGATCTCAACGTTCGAGTTGTTAAGGAAAAGCGTTTTCAGGTTTGTCCGTCCAATAAAAGCGTCCGTCGTAAGATGTGCGATTTCGTTACCGTCAAGGTATACCACGCTAGCCTGCATCGGTAGTCTTTTAGGAATTTCTACGTGTTGGCGTGAGCTACAAACAATAATGTTGCTATTCCACGTCCGATCGTGGTAGCAAGTACACCCAGCCGGACAAACTATCTCACAATCACAGCCATCCAAGTTACAGCAACGGCAAGAAGGAAAACAGTGGGCGTTATATTCGCACAAAAACTGCGAAGATTTCGTTTCACTTAATAACTGAAGTTGAAAATTATTGAGGTAACTTATACTGCATTCGATGTTATGCAGATCAATAAAGCGAGGGTACTGACGCGAATCCTCATATGTGGTAGCCGCCGTTTGAATCTGCAGTCGTTGAAGCCATTCCGTGTGGCAGTTACACATGTACGGGTTACTGGCAATGGCAAACTCTGGAAGAGGCCGTCTAGACGGCACCATACTAAGCCGAAACGCGGCCATTTCGAGTGTGGTCAGTTTGTTGCGCGTTAAATCCACAAGGCTCAGGTTATGCTTCCCCAAAAACGTAAATGGCTGGATACGTTTTATATTGTTATTCCTCAAATAAACAATCTCAATACCATTAGGTAATGATGATGAGTCGAGATCGATAAGTTTATTTGATGACGCATCCAGGGTACGCAGCTTTAGACTTTGCTCGAAATTGAAATAATTTCCGAGTGCCTCAATTTGATTGTCGTGCATATCTAACCACTGAAGGCCAACCGGAATAAGCGCATAGTCAAACCAGCGAATGCGGTTTATTGAAATGTTCAGCATAATCAGGTCGTGCAGAGTGTTGAAAAGGCCATTCACATCTTCAATATGATTGGCATCGAGACGAAGGTAGTGCAGACTGGATACGTTGTCAAACGTACCTTGCTCGATGGCTTGAATTCTGTTGTTAGCTAGATTTAGTATGCGTACCGCGGGCATCTTGTTGAATGCACCCTGGCTGATGTTGCCAATCTTGTTGCCCATCAGATTTAGTGCGTACAATTGATTCAGACCCTGATACGAGGCGTTGGCTATGTCACGTATGCCATTGAATGACAGATCAAGAGAACGTAGCATCTTCAACGATAACATGTCATCTGGTATACAGCTAAGTCTGTTAAAAGCAAGACTGAGCTCTTGTAAGACCGAGGTGTTTTTAAATGTGTCTCTGTGAATTATCTCTAACCGGTTATTATCTAATTGAAATGCCACCATCGAGCTTAGTCCAATGGTCGCTTGTGGACCGATCATTTTCAGATAGTTTCTACTGAGCGTAAGTGTCTGAAGTCTCGTGAGCGCGTAAAACGTGCTGTCGCCAATGTAGTCAATAAGATTGCCTTGCAAATCGAGTGCACGGAGATTAACTAGTGCACGGAACGTACTGGCATCTAGCCGAGTAAGTCGATTATGGCTGAGATCGAGCACTTTTAATTGAGTTAGATCAACTCTCGAGTCCGGTGTACCGAGCGATCCCAGCGTCGCGAGCTGATTGTGCCCCAAGTCCAGCATCGTCAGCTGGCCCAATCCAACGAAGAGGCCCGGCGGTAGATCGTTTAGCGTGTTGTTTCGTATATATAACTCCAGGAGTTGAGGTGTTGACTGAAACAATCCTTCGGGGAGAGCGACAAGCCTATTATGCGAGATGTCAAGTCGTTCGAGGTGCCAGAGGCCAGCGAACGCACCGGACTCAATTGTTGTAATCTGATTATAATCTAAATCCAGTTGCTTCAGATGAAGCAACGATGCTAAACCGTTGTCCAGTAGAACTTCGATTTTGTTATGTCCCATCTTAATTTCACGTACCGTTGGCCTGCAACGCGAATTCAGTGACAGCCCCATGCTAAATACGTCAAAAAAACTGTTCCTTGTTAAGTTCACGAACGCTAGTCGATCCAGCCCACAGAGCAGTCCCGCATTGAGTGATTCAATATTGTTCTCGCTCAAGTCAAGCGATTCGATGCTCTCGAGAGGTGTCAGGCTTGACGGCGAAACCTTGAGCGGCGTACGATATCCCGAGTCGCTACTGAACGTTCGCACCGTAAGGTGTCTAAGGCTTTTGAGCCCTTCGAATGCGCGTGGCGGCAAATAGTTAAATTTACACCGTTCGATCGTAAGAGATCGCAGACCACGCAGGTGTCGGAACGAACTATCGGCCAAATGACTCCTCTGAAATGCGCGTCGTTCACCTGTGCAACAGACTGCCAATTGTTCGATGTGGTAGGGCACAATAAGTGAAAAATTGGTAGGATTGGCGCCACTTTCGAATGCGTGAATCCCGCACGTCATAGAGACGCGCGCCGAGTCGGCCATTGGTTCCCATGTGCAGTCCTCTGGCCGTACGTATCGTGCATCCAACACATACGACTGGGGTATACAACAGGCCAACAAGGTAATGTATTGGATTGGGGCGATTACGGTCCGCATCGTATCCATTCTGTGTTAAGCCGAAAATAGGACACACACTTTTCATTCACTATCCATCGCCGCGCTCAGATAATTCATGTCACAATAACTTCATCGTACGTTACATTACTTACATACTTCAACATTGTGATAATCGTCGTTATTTATTAAATGCACAGTTTTCGGCACGTAAAGGCGTACGTCCAACCACTATTTTTCTTTTATTCCTACTAGATAATTTTAGGAACTGATTAATGATAACAATCATTAAACAATTCAATTGTTCAACACTAGACGCTTGTAATGATTAGTCAGTCGTTTCAAACGTTCTCTTTGCTAATGTTCACACCCTATGTTTCCATTTCGATATAGTTCGACTATTGATTAGGGTAGCACTTCGTCGACCTATTATACTACGTCACGAGGACTAACCAAGGTACGTTACCGTTCAACTGCACTGCGAGATGCATTGTTGCTTCAGGCCAAATTTACCCTCCCCACTTTGGGTGATGGTAGAGTCAAAGAGAAGGGAACACTCGCAGAGCGACTGGTCAGTTGGATTCATTCCATGGGACCTTCGTTAGATCACATACCGGACTATGCGGCTAGACAAATAGTCGATCTGGTCGGAAGTAAAAATCAATTTTATCACCACCACCATCACTCAAGTTGATTGATCGACTACGGTTAAGCGATATCACATGTTTTCGTGGCCTACCCGTGAATATTTAGTTCGATTCATACGGCCAAATCAGTTATACATAGAATCATAAGTTAAAGCAAGTTAGCTCGTCAAAACTAGCATAGGTTCACTTTCTAGTTATAAACAGCCTGCGGGAGTTTTTTTTTTCGTATCGCTCCTGTTTTTTTGACAAAAATCGCTCGCACATTTCGAAAACGTGCTTGGATAAATTCGAAAAGGCCTCGCTGTTTTCTACCTTAGCACGTTCCTTAATGTAATCACAATTTCCGCGCCGCAAGCAGAAGGTCGTATTCGATGAAAATTAGACTGAACGGCCTTAAGCTGCTCGGCCTGAACTCGAATCAAACTTGAATCGGTACGAGCTAACGGTGGATTTTCTCACTCGTATAACACTTATCTGTTTACCCGCTTAAATCGATACTGGAGGGAATAGGCCTTCGGCACTGCCATGACCCTTCCTAACTAAGGTAATTATTATAGAATCATTGCCTCGTGAGATGTTGCTGTTTTGATTGTCACCATAGCATAGCAATCGTTCTATGCGTTACTATAACAGCATGCAAGGAAACACAAACAACCTTAGGTAGTTCTTGTGCGACCGATGATTCGCATTTCTGCATTTTTACTGTTATTTATACATTTTGTTATATTTGCCTGCCTATTTCATATTGTGTCTGCTACGTAATATATATATATTATCATCTAGAAAATTCTCCGAGATAAAAACCGTTTCACAATACGATCTATGGTTTCAACGAGACATAGACATTGTTGTCAGTTCTATTGACCTCTATGGCGAAACATTTTTGTCACCGTAATTCATAAACAGTAACGATTAGGTGTGTGCTTGAAGTAGAGCATATATTTTATAATAAAACAGAAATGTAATTTTCCCACACGACGAAGCGCAAAATTTGTTTCTCGAGCTGGTAGCGCGCGCGTTTGGCGCCATCGGGCTTTTCACTTAACGTTTTTATCATTGCGAAACGATACTTTGTTGCGCTTAACACTGTTTCATCCTTCATCTTACTAATGACAGTAATGTTTTCTTTTCCAGAAGGCGCAGACATGATACTATATCACAAGTAAGAAAAGTCTTTGTCTTTTATATCAGTCTCACGTATGGCAGCACATATACCAGAGGTCGAGCAGAAATGAAGAATTGCCAAATTGTCAACAATGCCACACCATCACCCCGCCTCGCCGCGTCTTACCCAGCGCAATGACGGACACAATGGACCGGCGGGGCCGCTGACAGCTTTAGCTTATCTTGGAACAGTTTTTTTACACTATAGCGGTCATCATAGCGCCAGTTGCTTCGGATGTAGTAGTTTCGGCATCGTAATCATCATGACCAGCAGCAGCAGCAGCAGCAGCATCGTCATGGACAACAATACCGCAAGAGGTGATAGGCTCACGTCGCTTCTGCGGCTGATTTCAGTTTCGTCAGAGCTTACTAGAGCGGCAGGCGGACCGCATCTTAGCTTGTTGTCGTCGTTACTGGTGTCCACGTTGTGCCTGGTCAGAGTGGTTGTATCGGTAATTGTGCCCGTTATGGCAATGCGATGTTGGTGCTGGTAATGATTTGGGTGCGAGGCGGCCCCTCTGCGCGCCCCGTCGATGGCATCCAAGCAGAAGGCTAAGTCGGCGTAGCAGCGAAGATTTCATGGCAGCATCGAAAGAACACGATTGACTACTCGTTCGCTGAAGGACAGTCGAAACTTCGACGAAGGCGACAACGATGACGATGCAGAAGAGAGTTGCCGAAGCAGATCCGACAATCGAAGATCAGAATAGGTAGGGGTGCGTCCCTTCACCAAGGCCTGTGCGCGAAGAAGAGCGAGACAGGCCTGCAGAAACAACAACAGCAAAACAAGAGACGCGCAGCAGCCCTGATGATGGTCTCGCCAGCTTTGGCTGGACATTAGATGGCGATGACGGCGAAGAGATGGACGTGTGGTACTAAGACCAATCGACGGCCGAGCTGGCGAACAAACGAAGGGCACTGAAGAAGGGCATCACCTGAATTGGACGAACGTCCGACGCGGCCCCACCTGCAACACTCGCTAGGCGCCGGCAGCGGCAAACTCAGTGCTGGCACGCCAACGTGCCAAAATAAGACACACACGCAGGCCCATGGTCAATAACATAATCAAGAACAGCAGCAGCAACAACAACAACAACAAAAACAATGACGACGACGACGACGACGACCAGATACACAAGCGAACGAAGCAGAAGGTGACTTTGCGAAGGAGGGAACCGATCTAAACCGGGCGACCACGTGTTCGATTCAGCCTTACCCACGTTGTGAACCTGATACAATCTAATGTTTACCGGCGAATCTGCCAGAGCATCGAAACGACTGCCTCTCTCCTTTAGCGAACAAATGCGAAACGTTTCGACTGTAACAGGCCGTAACATTATTTATCGGCGTTTTTTTTACGCGAATGATTAAATCGTGTCACGAAAAGCGCCACTTAAGATAAACTAGTAGTAATCAATTAAAGAAGACATGCGCACACAAACATAATCTGTTGTTGCTCAGAATGTTATCGAGGTAGTTACATGAGAATCGGTCGTGCTTGGCGAAAACTTTTTTCGCATTGCAATGGACGAACACACATGAGATTTAGAGCAAAGCACGGCCTACTGTTCGACATCAGCTCCCTTTTTATGTCGCCGTTTAATAATAATAAAAATCTTCCCATATCCCCGCTCACGTAGTCGATTAACAGATTTCAAAGTATTTTAATCGGAGCACCCGGTTGGCTGATAGGCCAGGTTAGAAAGTAGGATATATAATCATGGAAAAACGTAATTTTTTAAAGGAAACTCTTCTGCTGGTAGGTACGTTAAGGCTATCCGCATCACTGTCAGGCGGTAGCCGAAAAATATATCATCGATTATTAATAGCCAATTGATTGTGTGGCTCAATATTTATTTAATGAAAACTTACATGTAGCTACGTTCGATCTCTGATAGTATTTTGCGGTATCGCCATTGCAGACCGCTATCAGAATGAAAAAGGTAATAGCAAAAGCAATTTTACTTCAGAGCATTGCAGGAGAGATTTTTCGAACGCCGCAAATAGTCGCGCTCGCCGTACGGTCGACAGAAAACAACAATTCATACATGCGCTGATTTCAAATATCTTTAGTACAATACTGTCGAAAGGTCTTCTAGGGTGTTGTCGCGGTCACCTAATAAAACCTTTGTAGCATCACTTGCTCTACTGAAAACTTCCACGAGACTTCACGTTAAGATTTCGACTTACGAGAAACTGCATGCAGTAGAATTGTTAGGTTGTTTCTTGAGATGTCTGATTGGCGTAACACGTGCAGCCATGACCAGTCCAACCTAACCTAGTAAAGAAGGTCAGGTTTACTACATCGTAGTTTGATATAGTCCAATACGAGATAGTTGAACGCTGTCGTTAATTTTCGCCCATCGCTTCTGGTTGGAAACGTCACTGAACTTATAAATATCTGTGAGTAAAGTTCTATCGTGTGCATAATATCAGGTGGGCTGGACAACCTCTTACAACGACGTGCATCCATACGACACGACAAGCGAGCTATAGTGCAAAGGAAAGCTGTGTTATATACGCAAATATTTATGTAATATATTAGTTTATATAATAAATGACTGAACGTTCGTAGATGCGGTTTGAGGCACGACGGGCCAGAATTTGCCCACAAGCTAAGCCAATCAAGCTAAATCATAATCCTTATATGGTCGGCGATAAAACATGTGGCACAGAGTCTGTTTGTGCAGTTTTGACACGTAGCAGAAACACCATATAAATGTGACCGGTGTTCTACATTGGATCATGAAGAAAACATACTGGTAATCGAGAGCGATCTAGTAGGTTATACATGGAAGCACATTGTTCTCATTCGAAAGGAAATGTCTTTTCCCGACAAGAGAGCTTTTCGAAACAGAGTCAGTTATAAATGCACCTATTTTAGTCCTGACTGTTCAATAGCTGTTAATCAGATTAAAGGATAGGCGTATAACGGCACCCTATGTGGTCACGTAGCATGCTAGCAACGTGCCCTGTTCTCTATGGCGCGTGTAAATATGCCGACGACTAACACTGGCACTGTTATCGTTAGGTATTTTAAGTAAGAACTTCGCTATCTGCCCCACTGGAAATTCTGTTCATATTCAAGCTGTAAAAATGTTCACTTCCTTCAAGGTATGTTACATTAACAGATACCTGCTGTGAATTTTTGACGTTGAACTTCCGCGCGTGCGTTACAGTCATCTACGAAGGCGTAAACTTGCAATCGTTGAGCTTGACCGTTTTTCCAAACGGTTCTTTTATTTCGCAGTCTAAGCATATATACGGCGGCGGATTTGCACACCAGTCGGAATTTTGAACGACACTTAACAACGAGCCAGCAATCATCCTCACTACCATCACCGTCACAGTTTCTCGCAATGGCTCGCGTCATTGGCTGGCTGCAGGCGTATTCGCAATTCGGATTGTTGAGCGAAATCAAGGGCAAACACTTCTTTTTTTGAGCTAATGAATAGTACGTCGGCTATCTGACGATGATTGCGGTGATGCGATCTTTTCTGCGGTTCGCTCTTCTGTGAGCTTTTGTCTTTATAACGACGATGGCAACGGCGATTTTTTAGGCTATTCATTCTACTATCCTGAATACTTACTTAATCTTCT